ATGAGTGGTCTCCGGAGCCGGATCGGCAGCGATCTGCAGGTCGTTTGCTGAATTTTGGTGGACCCACTAATCTATTCATTCTCAAATGACTCGTTCCAATTACGGATCGACATAAATTCCGTAACGACATGGAACATAGCAAAAATTAATCATAGAAATATTAACATATTTGGATTTTTTTTGTCTAATTAAGGATTATTTTAATTTTTTTATCCAACAAATAAATGGATTTTCAAATTAAGTAAATTATGCCAAGATAATTCACGTTATATAGTCATAGTAAACTCGTGTTATTCTAATAAACTCTCAAATACAGTAAATTATTCCATTTTTTATAGTAAAAAACAAGAGAACTTTTTTCTATTAAAAGGCTGTCCGGTTCCTGATAGAAATGTCAAATCCAAGAAGCGACAAGAAATTGTTTTTAATATAGACTTCTTATCCTAATTTTAATATACAACCGGTCATGAAAATTATTAAAGCCTATTCAACAATTAACTTGCGCCTTATATTCCTCGTGACATTGTTGGTAACCATTTTTCCGTTTTCAAAGGCAAAGAATACTAGCTTCAAATGTGATGGCATATCTAAAGCAATAAATGCGGGAAAACTTATTGATTACAAAGACTTAAAAACATGTTTTGAAAGCATTCCTTTTAATGCTGCAAAAGCTGACAAAGTAATTTTTAATATTTTTTTAATTTTATTTAAAAATTACCTAAATGTATATTTAAATAATTTTTTTTTAACAAAAAGATAATTGATTCTGTGTCACACGTCTTGTCGAGTTATTATGTTTTCCTTGACCAGCCAAATAAAAATCCACCTAATGGATTTACTTATCAACCTATAAATATAATAGATGAATTAAAATCATTGCGTAAAAAAAAATTTAAATCTGATTATGACTTTAAGGTATGTTACATAATAAATAAAATTTCTAGATTAACTTTTATAAAAAAAATATATATTTATTAACGCAAAAGCTTTAAATTATTTAGATAGCTTTAAGAAATCTTATTTTCAAATTAAAAGATGGTCATACGAGATTTGAAAGTTCATGTTATCAGGACTTTAGTTATCAACAAAACTTAAGTTTATATTCTGTAATTACAACTGATAAAAAGAAAAGACAGAAACAGGTAAACTAATTTCAGATATTATCATCAGTTGTTGTGCTAATATTAACATTATAACATTAATTGTTTAATCAATTATCATTTATAATTATTGAACATAAAGATAATCAAGGTAATTATATAGCTTTTTAACATGTAATAATTTAATTCAAAAAATAATACGTATTATATGATACAAGTAATTCTCAATCTACTGCAAAAAAAAGAAAAATTAATTAAACTTCCAATATAAAAATTAAGCCAAAAGCAGTTCGTGATAATTCTACCTGATATGTGAGATTTATCAATAAATTCTCAATATTAGAAAGTTATTACTATAATAGATTACTTTTCTTTTATCAAGAGTTACTTGTGCATGCAATTGATTAACGCCAATTAGATAGCATGATGCTAATATTTATCTTCATTTAAAAAGGTCTTCAATGATACAGAAGATCCATCAAATAATGATTGCGAAGTTACTGAAATTGAAGGAGAACCGGCATTGCAAGTGATAATTGAGTTTGCAAATAATTCAATTGCACAATCAAAAGATCTGGGTGTTCGATTCAACATGGCTTTGGCTCCCAGTAACGGACTATTTGCTCCACAATTTACTTCACGAATTGACCTGCCTGAAAATTCTATTATCACATATAAATTATTATGTCCTCATAAAAAACCTTTTTTATTAAAGAGAAAATGGAGCATTACATTTAGTGATAAAGTTGATTTTTCCGACATTTGTCTAAATCAAGACACTTTGCCAAATAATAATGTTGCATCATCAAGAAATAAAGATGAAGTGTCAACTTCAAGTGACAAAGTTACAAAATTAATTTCAAGAAAAGTGTCGAAATTAAATAACAATAAGCAGAAAATTGCGCATGCAAAATTAATAGATGATAATTTTGAAGCCAGTTTTTATATACTGAATGATGAAAAAAATGTTGGTGTCGCAACAATTACTGGAGAAGATGCAGATGTTGTTGAATTTTCTCTGCAAGATGGTTTTGAAGAATTTAAAAAACGAAATGTAACGAAGGTATGAACTAAATGATTAATTCTATAAATGTATAAAACATGCATTATATATCGTATTTACCTATTCATATCGTTCTGACAGCTTATTTTAGATTTTTCCAATAATGATGGTGGTGATGTTACCGTACCTCTATTTATAAATTCAATATTGTTTTCACCAAAACAACCAAACTCGTACCCAACGAGGATAAATATTAATGGTTTTACCGTGCCAGTAATAAAAAAGAATTTTAAGAAGCGAATTCCTGATCCCTTGAATTTGTATGATCCAAATAACTATTTAGTGTTTCCTTCAGGCGATCGATTTAGTTCTCCTGATCAGTTTATAGGCTCCCGAAAAACTCATACTTCTAACCTATATCTTAACGCTCTAACATCTGATGAATTGAAAAGTATCAAAGATACCCCTCATTTTCCATGGAAAAGTGACGATATCATTATCCTAACTAATGGGTATTGTGCATCTGCATGCGCATTAGTAACACTATTTTTTTCTGAAATTCATAAAGTTGAAACAATTGCTGTTGGTGGTCTTCTTGACAACAACTTAAGTTTTTCTACTTTTCCTGGTGGTCAATTTACATCAAGTAACCTAATTTTAGATTATGCTGGTGATCATGCTGCTGATGTTTCGTTTCCAAATTCACTTCTTCTTGCTATAAGAAAGTCTGTTAGTTTTTTCAAAAATAATACTGAAAAAGAAGTATTAGAGTATTCATATAGACCTGCTGATCATAGATTTTATTATAATGAAGCCAATGCTAAAGAT